TATTCAATTAAAATTTTGCGATCATGGTGCGTTTTATTAGCTCACCTGAGCGTAAATTGCTCAGATGTGAGCTTTTGTGTTAGTATTGTGTCCGTCGTTCATCGTTGTCCTCATTTCCTCCTAAACCACAGGGTGAAGTTTGACCAAACTTTACAGAAATGATCATTATCCTCAAGTGAAATATTAAGTTTAAGTTTTTACTATATGCATATAAGGAAAATCAATGACCCCCTGGGGCGGGACCAATTTTGACCCAAGGGCTTTTATTTGAACAAACTTGGTAGACACTGACTAGAAAATGTTTCATGCCAAAAATCTAAGCTCTATCTCTTTGGGGTTTTTAAAAGAAGATAATTAAAGTTTTTTTCTTTTGGTTACCATGGCAACTAGAATTCTGCATGGAATTAAATTCTTTGAACAATTTTCAAAGGTGACCACCAAGGGTACATTCCTGTAAAGTTTGGATGAAATTGGCTTAGTGGTTTATGAGGAGATGTCATTTAAAGTAAAAGTTTACGGGCGACGGAGGAACGCCGGACGAAAAGCGATCACAAAAGCTCACCCTGTCACTTTGTGACAGGTGAGCTAAAATGGTACTAGTCATATATATAATTAGGTCACATGAGCTAAAACAGGTTTTAAGAATAACATCTTTAAAAATCTTCTTCTCAGAAACTACAATGCCAAGAACATAGATATTTGGCAAATAACATCACCTTCTGTTTTTTACAAAAGTTAATATAAAGTATGCCCCTTATGGAGGGCGTTCGTTGCCAAAATTCCAGACATGTAAAGTGTTCCTTTTTAAAATGACTTTTGAAAATGCGAACTTGTATGCCTACCATTTTTATTGTATACCTCTTAATTCAATTTTTTAATTGAAGGTTACCGCCTTTATATAACAAGTTTACATATATATCGTAACAACTGACCTAACATCTAAAACGACAACAAATTTACAAGTTCGTATCTTCCATTGCATGCAATACATATGCATGTTTGCACACTTATAAATCTGAAATATACAAATGAAACGTAAAACTCGAATACGGAAAATAGAGTTTAAGAAAACGTGTTACCAGTTGTAGAACTACAAGAGTACGTTAACACAGTAACATGTTGAAATGACAAAAGTAGATTCACAAAGTTAAACGATTTTAAGTCAAGCATAACGCCCCGCCCCTCTCGGAGTATTTACGAACTTCTATTGCGGACAGGTATAAAACGGCGCCTCTCCCATATTTTTAAATAAAACTGAAGGACAACATACGGCATTTTTCATAACATATATATGTTACATTTGTTACAAAAGTTTTGTCACTAGCAACATCACTTGAAAATTGCTGATTTTACCATTTATGATGAAGATAACTTATGCATTACCTTATTATTTAACATCGTGTTCTTATCAGTTACAAATTATTTATCATTTTAGTGATTAGCCTGTCCGTGCTCTGCCTAGTGTCCTGTCCTGTGTTTTGTTTTGGGTCCGCCTGGGCTTCTTGCAACTTGTTCTTGTTGCTGGGTCATGTGGGGCTGCGTTCATTGAACGCCGCCTTTCCTTGTTGATCTTGTTTATCATATATTCCTGAGAAACATCGGCGATTTGGAACTTTTTAGGGGAAACAATGACCATCTTCAAGGGAGTAATTTTATTGATAATGTAAAAAACCATCCAATATTCTTATTGGTATCATTGAAAATGTATTGGCACATATTTCATTTTCAACAAAAACTATGCAAGTATATTTTAAAGCGGCCACCGAGATTTCCTTTCCGAAATCAAGAAAATACTTATCTGTAGCACATATGTACAATCTTTAATAAGGTATTTTCAGTATGAATAAAACCTTTTTGCACTTGTTCATTATCCCTCATGTACAGACTCAATCAAACCGAGTCTGTAATTCTTATGTAATTTTGTAGTGATTAATGCTTCCGAGGGATCACTTTGTTTTCAGATTTTTATACTTCACAACAGCAGGTGTCAATTGCCGTGTGGCAGCTGTAAAAAGTTGCCCCGTACTTCACTTCAGTGTTGTTATATTTTTCTGGTCTTTCGGGATCATTGATGCCAGCGCTATTAAGTGTTGAGAATTGAGTACCGTTCAAGCCGGTGCTAGGGGGCGTGAGGCATGTTGCACTTGTTCATGATCCCTCATGTGCAGACTCAATCAAACCGAATCTGCAATTCTTATGTAATTTTGTTGTGATTAATGCTTCCGAGGGATCACTTTGTTTACAGATTTTTAATATACTTGTTCAAAACTTATGGTCTTAACTTCATTCAATATTCATTTTCCTTTTTGAATAAAGTATCTAAAGTAAGCGACGTTATTTTTTTTTCGAATATATGAGTGTGGATTTAAGAGAAAAAAAATAAACAACGATAAGTTAGAAACAAAATTTTTAATACTTCTACGTAATTAATTTTCATTTTTAAGGCATCACTAGAAAGTTCATTAAGGATTCTTAAGCACTATTAAGTGTTGAGAATTGAGTACCGCTCAATCCGGTGCTATGAACCGTCAGGGATGTTGCACTTATTCATTTTCTCTCATGTACAGACTCAATCAAACCGAGTCTGCAATTCTTATGTAATTTTGTTGTGATTAATGCTTCCGAGGGATCACTTTGTTTCCAGAATTTTTTACTTGAGTCTAAAATTATCAACGCCGCCTTTCCTTGATGATCTTGTTTATCATATTCTAAAATTATCAAAATTGACCAAGAAATAAAAAAAAGTAAGTAGGGGGCGCCATGTTTCTCTTACTGAATTTCAGAGTGTGTTTTGTTTTTTTTTACTTGGGGATCATCTGCCGTTTTTCATGGTATGGCACTTACGTGTCACATTCAAGGTTCCATGATAATCGCCATATTAACACATCTGCGGATGTTTCAAAATTCAAAATTGTACCAGTTCATGTTGAATTTTGCTTAAGCCGGTGCTAGGGGGCGTGGACGATAACTTGCTCTTTCCATTACCGTCCATGAGCAGGCTCAATCAAACCGGGCCTGCAACATTCTCAATTTTGTCGTTTGAGCGTTATTTAGGGATTCTTATTTTCTCTATTTTACAGAAAGTAACATGATAAACTTTTTAACGAAAAGTTAATTCATTTTGATTTAATTCATTTTTATTTTGAGGCATTATATAATTATATATCATAAATCGTATTATGCACACTTTTATTTCAATCCAAAATTATCAAAATATATTACGAAATAAAAAAAAAGTTTGGAGGGAACGCCGTGTTTTTCTTACCAATTCGTTCGAAAAATTCAATACATCTATTTAATTCATTTTTATTTCCGAGGCACTCATAGAAAGCTTATGGAGTAATCTTTCATTTGATACCAATAATATTGGACTTTTTATAGAAATAAAAAAAGTTAGAATGGACGCCGTGTTTTCCTTCACTTTATTGAGAAATAGGAGAGAGGCGACGGGTATTATACCTGTCCGTACATTTCCGTGATAGAAGATCGTAAATACTCAGAGAGGGGCGGGGCGTCATGCATGACTTAAAATCGTTTAACTTTGTGAATCTACTTTTGTCATTTTATACATGTAACTGTGTAAATGTACTGTTGTAGTTCTACGACTGGAAACACGTTTTATTAAATTATATTTTCTGCATTCGAGTTTTACATTTCATTTGTGTTTTTCAGGTACAGATATATATCTACAAGTGTGTAAACATGCTTATGTATTATATGCAATGGTAGATACGAACTTGTAAATGTGTGTTTGGTCAGTTGATAAGATTTACATGTTAACTTGTTATTTAAAAGCGGGTGCCTTCAACTAAAAGATTGGATTAAGAGGCATATCATTTGCTGTGCACGAATGCAATCAAAAATGCTAGACATACATGTTCGCATTTTCAAAAGTAGTTTTCAAAAGGAACACATTACATGTCTGGAATTTTGGCAACGATCGCCCTCCATAGCCCCTTGCGTCAAAAATGGCCTTAGGTGTCACTTAATTTACACAGGCTTAAATAGGAAAATATATTTTTGTCTTCCTTTATAAAACTGCAATGCCTAAATGCATAATTATTTAGCATGTAGCATTTTCGAGTTGACCTTCACAAAAGTAATACATATCATGCCCTGCCCAGGGGTCACTTAGTTTATATGGGCTTAAAAATAAAAAATCGTTTAAACCTTCCTTTTGTGAATCTTCACTGCCAAGAGCTAAGATATTTCGCATATAGCATTGCCTAGTACACCTCTATAAAATTATATAAGTCATGCCTCTGGGATCAAAATGGACCTTACTCTGGTGTCACTTATTTTGCATAGACTTGTAAAGTCTTAACAATGCTCTCTCTGAAATGAAAATGCAAAGAGCGTATATATTTTGCATGAACCATTACCTTGTGGTCCTCTTCAAAAGTTATATATATACAAGTATCATGCCCCTTTGGGTCAAAACTGACCCGCCGTGAAGTTCACCTAGTTTAAATTGACATGTAAAAGAAAATACTAGTACTTTTAAGCCTTCTTTTCTGAAATTACAATGCCAAGAGATTAGATATCTAGCAAGTAGCATTGCCTAGTGGACTTCTACAAAAGTTATAGATGTATAAGTCATGCCCCTGGGGTCAAAACTGGTCCCGTTCTTGGGGTCACTTGTTTAAGATAGACATATAAAGTTAAATGTCAAGTTAAATGTCAAGATTGGCCCTGCCACGGGTTATTTTTTAAATAATCTTCTTTTGTGAAAATCCAGTTCCAAGACCTTAGATATCTGGCATGCAGCATTACCAATTGATTGTCAAGAAGTCATCTACAAAAGTTGCCACGCCCTGGGGATCACTTTTTACAATTGTGCACTCTGGAAAACAAGACGAACCTAACGTGACCTCCTTACTCGCTTTAACTTTTTCTAGAAATGTTTAAGGTGAGATATCCAGCGCTATCATGTCCCTCTTGTCAATATTTAGCAACTGAAAGAATTGATTTGCTGGTAATTACTTGATAGTTTGCGCAAAGACAACATGCAGAACTATTGCTTTATTATATGTTTATTTGTGTTAGACGGCTTTGTTTTACCTATAGCGTGTCGGAACATAAAGTTTTCAAAACAAGCCGATTTGAGCGGGTATACTTGTCCTACAATGGATAAGGGTTTTGAATACGATAAGTTGAATTTAATGCAGTGTCTGAAAACTTGTGCTGATAGCTCGTCGTGTTTTGGCGTGTTCCACGACGAAGCTAATATGCACTGTGTAGGGTGCAATAACGAATTTCTTACTTCTTCATCGGCCCCATCTCTAAACGGAATGAAGTACTTCAGACGTCAAAGTAAGTAATTTTAAAGATATACTAAGCTTAAATTTCATATTTGAAAAAAATCATAATTGCTACACAGTGTCTTTGTAAAAATAAAATAAACATATTTTAACTTCAAACAAAGTAGATATGTTGTGTTTTAAATTCTACACACTAGGTGGTTACAATATGAATATATAGTGTAGCTTATTTAAGAAAAGGCCAATTTTACTTGACTTGTAATACGGCACACAGCTTCCAATAATAATAATTTATTCATTCTTTTTTTTTTCAAATTGGATATATTCAGTAAAATAACATAGATTTCAATAAATTTCTGAGAAAAAAGTATTTTACACAAGGATGAGCATCGTATATCTTTAAGATTTTAGGCAGAGTAAGTTTGATAATCCTGGAACTTATTGTATTTCTATAAAATTGGGTTAATGGTGACAAAAACGGTGAACGAAATTAGAAAACGTTCATTGTTATTTCGTTCCAGTAATCTCCAAAAAGGATATTGTTCAACCATTTTTGTCTTAACGATGCCCATTTCTCTTCCTTTTTTTTTGAATATTTCCTTTTGTAGCTGTCTGTGACACACAGGCTTCGTAAATTATAGCTCTCTCTCTCTCTCTTTAAATTCTATCATTTTATTTAGTTCTGACTTTAGTTTTCACGTTAAGGGCACACGTATTATTTGACCTTCTGTTAATTTGACCTACAGCCCATACGCCTGTTTATGTCCTTACTTCTTGGATAGTGAGGATGCAGAATTTGCCCTTGTGCATCCGTTTAACGTCCTTTGGACATCTTTCTAAATATAATGACTCTTAAGTGTCAAATTGAAGTTCCTTTCGCAACCGTTGTTAGAGCATATTTACAAAATATCACAATCGTTGTATTCTGGTTGAGCCGGTATATTGACAGTAGATTTTATTTACAGTTATAGTCCTTGACCAGACTCAATCAAACCAAACTTTAAACATTTGCAATTATGCCTTTTAAGACAACTTTTAATGTTTCTCTAAAATTCTATACAGGGACAATTTCACGACATATAAACATAGATCAGCAGAGTTTAATGGGAAGTTATAATACTTTCCTAAAACCTATTTTACAATACTTAAAGTAAAAGCTGATATTACAAAGATTGTGCTTTTTTCCTCTGTAATGCTTGTAATAAAAAGACATTCCATTCGTGACTTAAAGAGTTTAAATTCAATCTAATCTTTATTTATTTTTTTTGCTATCAATTTAAAATCCATATGTTTCATACCAGACTGCTAAACATCAGTACACGTTTTGAAGGTATAATTCCACCCATTTAAGAAACGGTTTAAAAATCTTCTTCAATCAACAATGTGTCACCTGTTACTTTCGTTGTGCTCATTTTCGTTGAAACATTTTTTCAATCAACAATGCGTTAACTGTTACTTCCGTCGTGCATATTTCCATTTAAACGTATCTTTTTCAATCAACAATGCGTAAACTGTTACGTCCGTCGTGCATATTTTTGTTTAAACATATCTTCTCCTATCAACAATGCGTTCACTGTTACTTCCGTTGTGCGCATTTTCGTTCAAACATATATTCTTCTATCAACAATGCGTTAACTATTACTCCCGTTGTGCATATTTCCGTTTAAACATATATACTTCTATCAACAATGCGCGTTGTGCGCATTTTCATTTAAACAGATATTCTTCTATCAACAATGCGTTAACTGTTACTTCCGTTGTGCATATTTCCGTTGAAACATATCTTCTTCAATAAACAATGCGTTAACTGTTACTTCCGATGTGCATTTTTCCGATTAAACATATTTTTTTCTATCAACAATGTGTTAACTGTTACTTCCGGTGCGCAATTGCGTTTAAACATATCTTACCAGTTGTACCAGTTGTAAACTATTAAATTGTTTCTTCAGTTGTAGTGCTCTTAGTTTATTGTAAATAGTGTTCAGGCACATATACAAATAATAACTTACATTATCTTATTATATATTTTTTATTTTCTATATGTCTATACGTTACCCTAAATTACACCTTATAAAGGAAAAAGAGAAAACAGCGAAATAATAACAATTCATTTTAGCTGTTTGCATTTCAATATAATGAAGATGATTTTGGTAATAAAGATATTTTTTATAATTACCCACACAGGAATGTTTCATATGTTCGTATATGTTTCATTTTTAGCGTACATGATAGTGACTGAAGCGAAAACATGGAGCAAGGCACGGGTAAGCATCGCTTATCTAACTTTGTATTCTTTAACGAATTGAAAATTATGCTCGTTTATAGAACTATTTCAATCATGAGTTATCTAGCAATTTAAATAGCTTATGTGGGAGCAATCTAGAAATAATTCATGGAGAGACATTTGATGTCATCCTTGAAAAACCGCGCCACCAGACATTTTAGTGTCAGCATAATTTTTTAACATATACATTGTACCGATCCTTAACGGAGTTGTCCATCTTTTTAATCAGGACTGATTGATTCTTAGTTAAAAAGAGTTCTGATGCGCAGTATAGCATAGCTTGATTCTGGTGGTAAAGGCTTATCACCTACTCATCATGCAGTGTATACAATACATAAACAGTACTAAGCAGGAACGGAAAAGTTATTACATTGCTTGGTAATATTTACTTGATACTGAATATTGTTTCTTTAATTGCTGTTATATACTATATGTATACACCTCTTTCAGTTAGTTTTGTGGTTGTTGTACATGTAGTTTTTTCCTGATCGCCTAGTAATAGGTGAAGCAGTCTCGTGTTCATGAACTTGCAGCTAAGGTTTAAAACTTTGTTTTCATCTCGTAGCATATATTTGTTTCTATGTATTTCATAAACCATTGTGCAACCGTATCATTTTACTTCTGAGAACTACGGCTGCTGAAAAATATTTACATGTTTCAGCTCAATATTGTCAAACAATGGATGTTAAAACTTCTTCATTACTTTCATTTAGAGGTCTTATCTGTTTGTAAGTTACCTCCCTTTAACAAATCAAATTCAGTATGGGTAGTGATATTAGCATATCAACATAATCAATGTGTAAAATATTCAGTAAGCAATGATGACAGTAATAAATCAAAATTTCATACCAGTATTGATTGTTATGGCATTGTTTTCTAGTTACACTGTTGGAGATTAGGGGGACATTTAGCAGACATTACAACAGAAAAGGAAGAACTATATATAGAGGAACAAGTATTAGGTAATGGTGAATTCTTTTAATATCATATTTTTTCTATTTTATTTTCATATAAATGACCAGGTAAAGTTTAAATATATTGACCTCCACATTTTAACGTACATAACCTAATGGTCAAGGGCACAGGCCGTGAATCAGTTGCTCATGTCAAATAGGAGTTCGGATTCTTTTTAGTAATTAAACTATTCAATATGGTGGCATATTTCTGCCACCAGATAACCACATAACTAACTAGTTAATTAAGAAGTTAACTAGTTATGTAACTAGTTAACCTCTTAATTAACTAGTTAGTTATGTGGTTAACTAGTTACGTAACTAGTTAATTTTTTCAATAAATAAAAGATCATAACGGGAAATAAATGCATGTTAGTGCCTACAACTGCCATCCTTTTATCATTTTACCAGCTTAATGTTAAGTGATTAACTAGTTTCGTAACAATTGCAAAATTGTGCAATTAAGAGGCCGGTAAAGGAAATGAACCAATATCTTTAATAGTACATCAAATTGACAGAAGTGAATAAGCGCATAGGTTGCCGAGACATTATACTTAAAACATCATCAAAAATATTTCCATGACAATTTTTCAAGATCATTCCATCTGACTTTTGAGTTTTGTCGTACCATGAAATACAATATCGTATATATTATATTATAGATTTTGATATTCGGTGTACCCGACATATTAGCAAAACTATTCGTGACTTGATATACACGATGAAAATGAAATAAATATTTATAATATTTATGTTAAAAAAAAGCCGACGTGTGTTTATTGTGATATTGTTTTAATATAAGAAGCTACTAACATGATTTTTTCCGTTATTATTTCTTATTGATTCTTCTAAGCAGTGTAAGAATTTCAAATAAATATCTCAAACATATTTTGCGCAACAAAAGAAAGTCGACGAATTTTTGAAACTATCTTTTAATGTAAAATTCATTGTTGCCCTTTCTTAAGAAACAAATTACTTTCTGATGCATGAAATTCCTTTAATTAAAACACTTGTTATAATTTTTAACATAGATTTTTAAAATCCAGTTATATAATTTCAGACCATACTGAAACTTGGATAGGAGCATCGCGTGAAGAAATTGGAGGAATATTTCACTGGGAAGACGGTACACCCCTGTCTGATCATTATGTGAAATGGGGAATAGATGAACCATCGGACAACCTGGATGAGAAGTGCGTAGTGCTGAAATGGGATTGGCATGATCTTTACTGTGGTATTTTAGCTAGAAGTTTGTGTGAATTTGACTAGTTTGAAGAAAGTCTCAAGTTTACAAATGTGCGTTATCTAAACATTGTTCTCGAAAATTGATGCAGCCACATTGAATCTGTTTGTTTCTAGTACCTGTTATTTGCTACATTCATTGTACGTATTGTTTACATTGACATAAGAAGAAGAAAAAAATCTGTATTTAATATTGTGCTTATGGTAAAATCATTACGTTATAGTTGAAATAATTATAGTGCAAATTCGAGAAGGCTGTCCGTGAAGTACGCGGGCTAACGGGCTAGCAGTCTAGCGGGCTAACAGTCTAGCGGGATAACAGTGTGAACTGGGCGGGCAAGCAGTCTAGCGGGCTAACAGTGTGAACTGGGCGGGCTAGCAGTCTAGCGGGCTAACAGTGTGAACTGGGCGGGCTAGCAGTATAGCGGGCTAACAGTGTGAACTGGGCGGGCTGGCGGGCCAGCGGGCTAAAATCTAAAACTTTATTTATTGAACATAAAAATGTTATGATACATTACCTGGCAGTGTGAAGTGGACGGGCTAACAGTGTAGCGGGCTAGCAGTGTGAACTTGGCGGGCTGGCGGGCCAGCGGGCTAAAATCTAAAACTTTATTGATTCAACATGAAAACGTTATGATACATTACCTGGCAGTGTGAAGAGGGCGGCTAACAGTGTAGCGGGCTAGCAGTGTGAACTTGGCGGGCTGGCGGGCCAGCGGGCTAAAATCTAAAACTTTATTGATTGAACATAAAAATGTTATGATACATTACATGGCAGTGTGAAGTGGGCGGGCTAACAGTGTAGCGGGCTAGCAGTGTGAACTTGGCGGGCTGGCGGGCCCAGCGGGCTAAAATCTAAAACTTTATTGATTGAACATTAAAACCTCATGATACATTTCCTAGCAGTGTGAATTGGACGGGCTGACAGTGTAGCGGGCTAGCAGTGTGAACTGGGCGGGCTGGCGGGCCAACGGGCTAAAATCTAAAACTTTATTGATTGAACATAAAAATGTTATGATACATTACCTGGCAGTGTGAAGTGGGCGGGTTAACAGTGTAGCGGGCTAGCTGTGTGAACTGGGCGGTCTGGCGGACCAGCGGGCTAAAATCTAAAACTTTATTGATTGAACATAAACATGTTATGATACATTACCTGGCAGTGTGAAGTGGGCGGGCTAACAGTGTAGCGGGCTAGCAGTGTGAACTGGGCGGGCTGGCCGGCCAGCGGGCTAAAATCTAAAACTTTATTGATTGAACATGAAAAACGTTATGATACATTACCTGGCAGTGTGAAGTGGGCGGGCTAGCAGTGTAGCGGGATAGCAGTGTGAACTTTGCGGACTGGCGGGCCAGCGGGCTAAAATCTAAAACTTTATTGATTGAACATTAAAACTTCATGATACATTTCCTAGCAGTGTGAATTGGACCGGGCTGACAGTGTAGCGGGCTAGCAGTGTGAACTGGGCGGGCTGGCGGGCCAACGGGCTAAAATCTAAAACTTTATTGATTCAACATTAAAACCTCATGATACATTACCTGGCAGTGTGAAGTGGGCGGGCTTACAGTGTGGCGGGCTAGCAGTGTGAACTGGGCGGGCTGGCGGGCCAGCGGGCTAAAATCTAAAACTTTATTGATTGAACATAAAAACGTTATGATACATTACCTGGCAGTGTGAAGTGGGCGGGCTAGCAGTGTAGCGGGCTAGCAGTGTGAACTGGGCGGGCTGGCGGGCCAGCGGGCTAAAATCTAAAACTTTTATTGATTGAACATAAAAACGTTATGATACATTACCTGGCAGTATGAAGTGGGCGGGCTAACAGTGCAGCGGGCTAGCAGTGTGAACTGGCGGGCTTGGCGGGCCAGCGGCGGCTAAAATCTAAAACTTTATTGATTCAACATTAAAACTCATGATACATTTCCTAGCAGTGTGAATTGGACGGGCTGACAGTGTAGCGGGATAGCAGTGTGAACTTGGCGGGCTGGCGGGCCAGCGGGCTAAAATCTAAAACTTTATTGATTCAACATTAAAACCTCATGATACATTACCTGGCAGTGTGAAGTTGGCGGGCTAACAGTGTAAAGGGCTAGCAGTGTGAACTGGGCGGGCTGGCTGGCCAACGGGCTAAAATCTAAAACTTTATTGATTGAACATATAAACGTTATGATACATTACCTGGCAGTGTGAAGTGGGCGGGCTAACAGTGTAGCGGGCTAGCAGTGTGAACTGGGCGGGCTGGCTGTCCAACGGGCTTAAATCTAAAACTTTATTGATTCAACATTAAAAGCTCATGATACATTCCCTTGCAGTGTGAATTGGACGGGCTGACAGTGTAGCGGGCTAGCAGTGTGAACTGGGGCGGGCTGGCGGGCCAGCGGGCTAAAATCTAAAACTTTATTAATTCAACATTAAAACCTCATGATACATTTCGTAGCAGTGTGAATTGGACGGGCTGACAGTGTAGCGGGGCTAGCAGTGTGAACGGGGCGGGCTGGCGGGGCCAGCGGGCTAAAATCTAAAACTTTATTGATTCAACATTAAAAAAACCTCATGATACATTACCTGGCAGTGTGAAGTGTGGCGGGCTAACAGTGTAAAGGGCTAGCAGTGTGAACTGGGGCGGGCTGGCGGGCCAGCGGGCTAAAATCTAAAACTTTATATGATTGAACATAAAAAACGTTATGATACATTACCTGGCAGTGTGAAGTGGGCGGGCTATAACAGTGTAGCGGGCTAGCAGTGTGAACTGGGCGGGCTGGCTGTCCAACGGGCTTAAATCTAAAACTTTATTGATTCAACATTAAAAGCTCATGATACATTTCCTAGCAGTGTGAATTGGACGGGCTGACAGTGTAGCGGGCTAGCAGTGTGAACTGGGCGGGCTGGCGGGCCAACGGGCTAAAATCTAAAACTTTATTTAATTCAACATTAAACCTCATGATACATTTCGTAGCAGTGTGAATTGGACGGGCTGACAGTGTAGCGGGCTAGCAGTGTGAACTGGGCGGGCTGGCGGCCAACGGGCTAAAATCTAAAACTTTATTGATTCAACATTAAAACCTCATGATACATTACCTGGCAGTGTGAAGTGGGCGGGCTAACAGTGTGGCGGGCTAGCAGTGTGAACTGGGCGGGCTGGCGGGCCAGCGGCTAAATCTAAAACTTTATTGATTGAACATAAAAAAAACGTTATGATACATTACCTGGAGTGTGAAGTGGGCGGGCTAGCAGTGTAGCGGGCTAGCAGTGTGAACTGGGCGGGCTGGCGGGCCAGCGGGCTAAAATCTAAAACTTTATTGATTGAACATAAAAAACGTTATGATACATTACCTGGCAGTGTTTGAAGTGGGCGGGCTTAGCAGTGTAGCGGGCTAGCAGTGTAAACTGGGCTGGCTGGCGGGCCAGCGGGCTAAAATCTAAAAACTTTATTGATTGAACATAAAAATGTTATGATACATTACCTGGCAGTGTGAAGTGGGCGGGCTAACAGTGTAGCGGGCTAGCAGTGTGAACTGGGCGGCTGGCGGCCAGCGGGCTAAAATCTAAAACTTTATTTGAATTGAAAAATAAAACGTTATGATACATTACCTGGGCAGTGTGAAGTGGGCGTGGGCTAACAGTGTGTAGCCGGGCTAACAGATGTGAACTGGGCGGGCTGGCGGGCCAGCGGGCTTAAATCTAAAACTTTGTTGATTGAACATAAAAACGTTATGATACATACCTGGCAGTGTGAAGTGGGCGGGCTAGCAGTGTAGCGGACTAGCAGTGTGAACTGGGCGGGCTGGCGGGCCAGCGGGTTAAACTTTAATACTTAATTGTAATCAACATGAAAACTCATGATAATATTTTCTTAGAAGTGTGACAATATGAAAACCTCATGATTACATTTCTAAGAAGTGTGAAGTGAGAGGGCTGGCGCTGTTCATGATTCATTACTGAAGTCGGCGTTTTTTCATCAGGCAAAAGAAACAGGCACAGTTATGGACTTACAAAAGGATTTAAAACCAAAACCTTTGTACTCGAGCCAACTTGTTTGGCGAACTGGTTAATATACCGGACTCTCAGTCCAGGGGAGAGATTTTTCTGGGGTCACTCCTGTCAAATATTCCGTATTAAATTTAAAACCATTGGGTCTGCAACCAACCAGGGATGGTTATGGAACTGGCCATCTTTTGTTTTAATAGCAAAATCAAGACATTTTTTAAAACTCCTAATCCCGCAGGCTGAAACAAACTACGGACATTAACACTTAATTTAATTGCTTTGACGAGTATACTCAGCCTTTGCGAACATCGAAGATTCCACATCAGTCCGGTGCGCATTCGCGCCGTCTGCCCCAAGGAATCTACACTGTTTACTGCCCCAACCACTGAGTATTTGATTCTAGTGTCCAGGCACCGAACGTGAATCAACCGGCTATTGTTGGCGGCCTATTGATATAAACTCAAAAAAACGAGAACGGTTTGACCCCAAATTCTTTTTGTGCTTAAAATGTTTCTGTTATCATATTTTAACAACATGCCAAGTTTAAAGAAATTCTATTGAACAGTTTTAATTTTGCCTATATGCTTCATATGAAAACTCCCCGAAAACGTGCATTAAGGCTTAAAAAAATATCAACCATAAGAGTCTTTGTCGTCTTTTTATTAATAAAAAATTTTTCTGCGCCGATTGGCAACAGTTGCTTCTCTGTGATCAAAATTCTGATTTTTCCATTTTTCAATACGGGCGTATACAAGAAATACAAGAAAATGCCAGTTTTTATCGTATTATATTTCAATTGATTGATAGAACTTTATGCTGCGCTTCGCGTGGCTTGCAATAAGTTCCAGTTTTAAAATTAAAAAAATAAACAATAACCTAACTTATTAACAATCTCAATTATTATGCAAAAGTTATTTTTTCAAAAAATATCAAGAAATGTCAAGGAAAAGTATTTGTGGTTAATAAACC